GATGGGGGAAGGGGGATCTACCATGCAGGCTCATTTAGGCCTTGTCTCTATCTGACTAGCCAAAGTTGCTGCTTTTCTCTCCTTCAGAGAGCAGAGGAGGTGCCAGAGGAGTTTCTTCCCACTGAAGAAGCTGCCTTACCATTTTCAGAGGTACAAGTGAGACTCCTCACATCCAAGTATGTTTTTCCCACAAGAGAAGGCAGGATCTGAGAAGCATCTGCTGGAGGGCTAAAGGCTCCCTTGGTGACCTGATCCAGGACTACTTCGAGGGTCTTTTCACAGTTCCATGCAGTAGGACCGTAGAACTCCGAAGTGACATTGAGAGCCTGGAAATCAGCAAGAGAGAGATGCTCAGCAAGACTCCAAAAGATGAAGACCAGATTCCTGGATTCTCTTCCCTTCAGATGTACCTGCATTGCGAGGCCAGTGCTATAGATGTTTCCAAGGGTACCATTCTTCTGCTGTTCATCAAGGATTTGCTTTGTGATCAGGGCCAAGGCTTTTTTTATAGTTCCTGTTAGTTCGCTTTGCTGAGATGAGATACCCTTATCCACGCAGAACAGGGCCAGACTTGCCACGGCACCAATATCTAAATCACATAGGACAAGGGATCGCCCAGTGAAAAGAAACTCAGGAGTGTTTTCCGGTCCAGGAAGAGTGAATGACCTCTTTGGTATAAGTGCTAGACAAGCCGATATCAGAGAGAAGCAGCCCAAACAGAAACAGGCTGTTTATTACAAATTGTCATTGTGGGTGGACTAATGGATTACAGGGATTTCTAGCTTATCAATCACTTGCTCACCAAGAAGCTCACTGGTGCTCCAGTAATCATTTCTCAGTCCAACCTACTTCCCAGGATCATTACCGTGTACTGTTAGGAGGGCTATCCTGACGTCCTTGGAAGCTCAGAGTAAAAAGGTAATTTAAAATCATATACAAAAATCTTATGTGTGTGTGTCTGTGTTGTGTCTGTATGGAGGATGGAATGGTCTTACCTACAGAGAAACGACCCTGGAATTGGAAACGATTATCCAGGGCTGCGTCGGCAAGGGCTGAGGCAGCTGTTTTAAGTTCTGAACTTTTCTCCACACACAGAGCCAAAGTATCTAGAGCCAATTGGTAGTAGTCTGTCTTGGGGGTCCTAGTAGTATCTGAAAGGTAAATACGTTTATGAGTTACTCTCTGTCTGGTCACAGAAGACGTCTACCCTTAGCCCATTACTATTTGGAGGTTGAGTTCAAAACATAGCAGAAATAGAAAAGTACTATTAAAGTATGATTGGAGAAGGG